TATATACCAAAAGAAATTTCAGAATTCTCTAATTTAAGTCCTAAATTTAATATTTTAAAATCTATTAACAAAAAATTATTATATCGACAGCCACACTGCAAAAGTCTGTAAGGACAATGTCTTTGGAAAATGAGTTTTTGACTTTTTCTGGTCAATCTTGTCCTGCTCATATTCCGATCCCAAAAATTGAAATTATGTTGCTTCATTTCAACTCTATTGCCTTATGTAAAAACCTGTAATTTAAAAAACAGCCTAGTGTGATGTAAAAAAACTGAGTCACAATGAAGGTTTTAGAGATTGTGTAGTTACTGATAAAACGTAATGAAAAGCTCAATGAAAGGTGGTCATGTAAATATAGAATGTACAAAGTGTTTTGCACTCAGACTACAGTATCAATTAGCTTTATCAATAGACTAAAATTAATTTTTCTCATAATACGCTTTGTTTTCTTTTTATAAATTTCTAATAAGTGGCGGACATTTACAGGCCAGAGCCTCTGGGTAAATGCCCGGGTTCCCCTGCCCTGAGGCTGGCACTGTTTATCATGGAACTAGATGAAGCAAAAAAGAGGGTGGTAAGTGGGAATATAATATTGAACGGTCTTCAAAACAATCGAAACCTCTTGGGAACTGTAAAATGAGCTTGACTGGAAAAAAGCTACAATGAAGCCGAATTCCAGGTAGTCAGAGCCAGAGTTGATTTCATTAATTAATAATCGCTTAATTAATAAAAAGAAAAATATCTATATCTAAAGATAACCTCGTAATAAACTCCAGAAAGGGAAAGCATGATGTTTTAGAACAAGTAGATATAAATAAATAAATTTATTTAAAATTGATACAATTCTAAATCAAACATTTTTTTGATAAAAACAATAGAACTACACATAATAAGATATTAAATAAACATATATTCAGCCAAAATAAGTTACGAACTTGATTAGAAAATAAATATAGTAATGAAGTCATGTTTGACAATATAAAAATATTAAGCAAGGAAAGAAATACAATAAAAAGAAAATTGATTTATTAAAAAAATATATAGAAAAAATGCTAAATATAAAAGAAGATCTAAAATGTATTAATAAACTAATTTGATTATAAATTGAATTGACCAAAAGGCAAACCAAACAAATAAGTTTGAACAATACTTTTGGCCTAATATGTTTACTGAGCCTATTCTGGTCTCTAATTGTAGTTTACTCAATTAAGTTTTAAAATGTGTAATGTTTTTTGTCTATAATGTGGCCCTTCATGGCGAAAAAATCGATAAAAGTGCAAAAATGTAGCAGTTTGTTGGATATTCAAAAATGATCCGGGAGGGCTACAGTGGTTGAAAATTTGGATTTTGCATCTCAGTCATCCTACAAAAAAAAAAAAAAAAACACCTACCACCTTGATGCAACTTACAAGGAGAGGTTACTGACGTGGGGTCATCAATTTCAATAAAACTTTTTTTGGTGATATTAAATCAAGATGTATTAGATTCCCATGGCCGAAGGTTCATGCCAATGCTAATGAAAATCTATTTTTATTTTGTTTTTTAATCAAGTTTTAACATTTGTTTATATTATTGTTTTCTGCTTTTGCTCTGCATACATTTCTAAGTTATAACATATCAATTGATTTTAACTCCTCATTGTTTTCTCCTAAATCAACAGTACTACAACTGCTGGAAACCTAATTATTGATCTTCAAAACTATATCAGTAACTTTTAGATTTTAGACAATAAAACATTGTTAGACAAATCGGAACATTGTTTCAATATTTTGCTCATACTATACTTGTATGACAAATACATATTTCTTTTAACCGGATGGGTATCTAAAGTAAGATTACATCCATAAAAACTGGTATTTTGTCAAGATTCGAGCCAAAATAAGAATAAAGTATGTGTTGTACAGAAGATGACATATACCATCAAATATATATTTCTTTTGCAATAAATAATCAAGATTCGAGCCAAAATAAGAATAAAGTATGTGTTGTACAGAAGATGACATATACCATCAAATATATATTTCTTTTGCAATAAATAAAGATGATATTTGTTTTTCATATATATAATAACCCTTAAATAAGATTTTTCATTGTAATAAAAAAATTGAAAATTGTTCTCTTTATTTTTCCTTATAGTAAATATTGCAACTCGTCAACCCTTTAGATATACAAAGCCAATATAATGGCTCGGGCTGACTGATGCCAGCGCGCAATGCTAATATAGTGACTCTGGAAAGACCATGCCCCTGGCGCGCTGAGCCAATATTCTGGCTTGTTACAGATCCCTCTATTGGAAACCACATGAGTCATAGGTTGTTGCTGAAACCACTAGATAGCCTGAGATGTATTATTTAGTTGCAGATAATCTTTAGGGGACCCCCATTCGTATATCTGCTGCTTCCACCCCTGTTTCAACTTTCTCTAGTCTTTTAAACACAGTTTAACTCTAAAACTAACAGCAGTTGGTAGTGTTTTGAAGTGCAAAAGTTGAAAATGAGTTTTAAAATTTTTTTAAATATAAAAAAAAAAAGAATTTTCTTCTTCTAAAGTATACTTTTTTTTTTTTTACATTGAAGTATATGTAATAAAATTTATCATAAGATGAAACATTTGTTAATTTTTTCCATATCAAACATTATCAGAAATTGGTTAATAATAAAAAAGGTTCCTAAAAAAATGTACAATAGAAAATAATGACACTGTATGTACAAAAAAAAAATGAATATATCAAAAAAAAAATGTAAATGTTGCAGTATAATGTAAGACAATTAATAAATTATAAAAAAAAAAAAAAAAAAAAAAAAAGATATTTGACTGTTTATTGTAATATGAGCTAACATGATATTAAAGAAAAATGTAAAAATAGACAGTTATAAAAAAAAGCATATTTTAATGTTGAAAAGTACAAAGTAACGGGAGTAATTCAATGAATAAATCCCACGCACAGAGGGTTGGCTAGACCCTAAGTACTCCGTGCACATGCCACCTGACCTTGATTAATACTCCGCGCAACTAAACTGTTAATATAATTAAATATTGAGGACATTTTCATTTCAATAAAAAAGTAAGTAGTATTAATATAAATATTTGAATATATTTAACAGTAGTAATATCAACTACAAAGCTAATAAACATAGATGGATCTCATAATATAAAAACTAATAGAAGGAAAAATATTGAGAACAATATTTCCATTTTTCTGTTGCAATGAAAATTCTTATTTAAGGGTTTTTAGAGATGCAAAAAAACGAATGCTTATGTGATGCAAAACAAGCTGTCCATAAATAAATTAAGCTTGGAGATAAAAAAGTCTGAAGAGTTTTTCTTTATTTATTCCTTCTAAAGTTGTAAAATCTTTAAGTTATTGACATGGTTTTGAAGATTAATAATTTAGCTTTCCAGTAGTTGTAGTAACGTTGATTTTGGAAAAAATCCTGAGGAATTATGAATATTTTATTAAATGGCATGTAAAAAAAATCCTTCCATAAAATTAAGTCCAAAAATTTATATTTTTTTATTTCAAAACAAATTTGGATTTAAGAGTTTTAATGGATGCTAAAAACGAATCTGTATCGTTTTTTCATGAAAAAAATATACTTGAACTACTTTACTGGAAGCATAAATTATTATACATTTAATACAATTCCCAAGGTTAGAGTAGGGGTGGCCAGGCTTTACCTGGAGGCAAAGTGAGATTAATCCATGAAACTTCTTGATACTGTGTCTCTCATGGTATATCAGTATTGGGGCACACAAATAATAAGGACAGGAGCCCCTGAAAGTATACAGAAAAGAAAAAAAAAATAGGGTGAATATTTATAAATTTTGGATTCTTCAAGTCAATATGGTAATTTTCGTGATATTCAAACGTGGCCGACAACTTTTTAGGAGGTCCCATTATCTTATTCTCTTTTTTGAGCTCTCCTATTTGTTTATCGATATTTTCATCATTGTGATGGACTGTTATCAGCAAAATATTCATCTTTTAATATATTGTTTTATTATGTATCGGTTTATTGCAAAAAGTCATTAAGTGACATTTGATAACCTCAAGTAATTATGAACTTTCACATATGAATGTGAAATCAGAAAATTATGCACTTAGTGTAGCCACATATGATAAATAATAGGGTTTGTGCTGTTTTCATGCACTTAGTGTTTTTGTATTGATAAATAAAGTAGAAATTCACAAAAACATATTGGAAGTTAACCTATATAAAATATGCGCTTAGTTACTTTTTGCAATAAATCGACAGACAATATGTATAAATTTGTAAATATTTTTTTAATAGTATTTAGAATTTAAGCTGATGATGAGATTAAGTCTCCGAAATGTTCTGAACATGTTAGTTAAAACAATTTAATGAGTGTCTGTAAACTATATGATTGATTGGTGCAAAACTTTTTTTTTTGTTGGCATTTTAGAGATTTAACTAAAAGTGACTAGATCATTTGAGAATTTAATAGCATAAATCGATTATGTAATTTACAGTGTGCAGTATTAAGTTGATCTTTACCATTTTGGTTTTTTTATTCCAAGCTTATTAATATTTCTCATTTATAGTTATTGTGCTTATAAATATGAAAAGTACAGAAAGTAGCGATTATTGTTAGCTGGAATCATAAAAATTATGTTTATTTCTATATCTGGCATGTAATATAACCCAATTTTTATTTTCATGTTTGGTGTGCACTATATGCCTAAGCATTTGATATATAACCTATTCATAGTATGTAACCTAAGGTGAAGTAAGGAAGGTTGCTATTGAACATTATGGCCTACAGTGGTAGTAGTAGTAGTAGTAGTAGTTCCAATTAACAATTTTTTTTTGTCCAAATAATTTAGTCTAATTTAAAGACTAGATTTTTTAAAATAGGCAACTGCTACTATTTAAGAAACTGGCTGATTTGATACCTTATCATTATTAAGTATGCTGTATATATAGTAATCTTAAAAATAAATAATTTATATCTTGGTTTCTCTCTCACTGTTATTTTAGGTCGGTTTGCTGCTGCTCAAGACTGGAAGTTGATAGTGTTCCTAGTTACATTTGGCTTTAGCTCTGTGATAGGAGCCTGCGTGACTGTAAAGCTAGTCCGAAAGACCATCTATAAAGCAGTAGCCGTTGGTGTAGCTCTCCTTGTGATGTATGTCTGTATTAAGTAAGTATTATTTGTTATTCTTTGAGATATATTATGTTTCTTTATTTCCAGAAACTCTGGTTATTTGATTGAGAAGCTGAACAATCTAGAAAGTAATTTATACTGTGTTTTAAGTTATAATTTTACCATTAACAAGTTAATTTTTGTACTAATATTGGTTCTGGTGAGGGGAATTTAGCCAGCAAGTGTACGTGAGTACTTGAAGTTATCCTAATTTTTCGATTGCCATGACAATTTCCAACAATAGTAATGTTAACTTTAATGAATTTAAAATACTAATGATTGTAAAAGTAGAATGCCAGATATTTATTAAAAGTATTATTCCAAAAATTCCAATAATATAATTCCATAAAGAAATTAAAAGGAAAGTTGCATGCATGCACATGCTCTGCAACTTTAGATTACTTCTCTTCCAAGTGATTGTTTCAAGGGCACAAACAAGAAAATTGTCTTACAATCACAAATATGGACTAAAAATGATGAGGATTTCTCCCCTCATGTCTACCAATTTATCTCTATGATCATGGTATGAGGTCAGAGAAAGGTTGACTTCTCTAAAGGGCATACTTACTAGAGATTGGCAGTACTCGATTACTTTCATGATTTGAGTACTTTTATTAGGAAAAATTATCCTGTAATTTCTGTACTCGACCTGACATTAGGGTGTACTGAGAGTACTCACACAGCGTTAATGATGCGTTAGTACAGAACCTACTTATGTTGTTATGTCGAATTACAAAATTTCTCTGAATAATTTTTATTTTTCAACTTCTCCATCATTATTATAAAGAGTGTAGGTGTTTTCTTTTAATTCTTCAATAATAGCCTCCATATTGAACCTGACCATCCCTAACCTTAATCGATATCAGGATCGACCTTTTGGATGTTTTGGGGGATGATTTTTATGAAAATACTGTCCCATTTCAGATTGCGCTCCCGCGGATTGACTTTTCGGATTTAATCGATATCAGGGTCGACTTATGTTTTGGCGGGCAAATTTTATGAAAATACTGCCGGAATAGAGATTGTGCCCCCGCACATCGACTTAATTTAGTTATTTTTTTCCTACACCTCTTGACTAAGACTTCCGTTATGTTTTCGGCGACGCATTTTTTTGGATTTGAGTTTGAGCCCCATTACGACTTTTCTTACCTTTTCTGATTTAATCGATATCAGGGTCGACTATTATGTTTTTTTGGGCATGCTTTTTATGTAAATACTGCCCGATTTCAGATCGTGCCCCCGTGGATTAACTTGTCTTAACTTTTCGGATTTAATCTATATCAGCGTAGATGAAAATACCATCGGATTTAAGATTAGAGATGAGGAAAAAGTTCTATAAGTAAAAATTATAAATTACAGAGCATTTTACTCAAATAATCAATTGGTCCTAGTATTGAGTACTTTAATCACAACTCAAGCCGATAATTGACAATTACAAAAAATAATCGGCAGTCCTCGAGAGTACTTTGCATTACCAAATTTACTCAGAATTATTTTACTTCTTTCTCTTATTTTAATTATTTTACATAGTTCTTTTCAAAGTAATTGAGTATATCATTTAACAAATTACAGGCATAGAATATTTTATAAAAATTAACATTAAGAAATGTTTGGCAATGGAAAGCCATCTTTTATATAATTTAATTTTTTACAAAAATGTTGCTGCTAGCTACATCGCCATATTTTTATTGCTAAAAGAAAAATAGTAAAATATAAGGACCTGTTGACATTAATGAAATTTCTTCTACATCAGTTTCCGTCGTTCGAATAGATCCTATATAACACTATTATATTTTATTATACCTTCTTCCATGATCTGCAATGTCTAATTGGTTAAAGTTCTTTATGTATCAGGTAAAGTAAATTAATGCACTAAAGATTTTTAGAAATAATTCAAAGAATTATCAAATAAAATGTTTCCAATGAACAGAAGGATGTTAATATTATTAGTAGAGACCGGATCTCCTTGCGATAAAAATCCGAAAAACATGCAGCAAAAAAATTAAGATGTGTAATAACATGCAACCTGATCTCTAGTTAATAGTGTTGATGTCTGAGAAAAAACACTTGATAATCTGTATGTTGTTCATAAGTTGCATTTTTCTAATCAAATTTATTTATCATGAAAAATTTGGGGTTGGCTCTTCAGTTTGGATTGCTTTATACATTTATATTTAAGAAAATCATGAAATATTTTTTTTTTACAATCATTGATGTGGATTAGCTGTGTATACCATCAAGGACCTTTTTCAATAACAAGCAATTTTTTATGAACTAGAACCAACATCATTTGAAGATGTTAGATTTAACATCAAAAGTTTATATAATGCATTTATGGAAGCGAGTGATATTATCGTTATTGCTTCGAATGATTGTCACTTGCGTGAATGTCAAAATGAAACGATAGATTTAAATTTTCCCAGGAAAATGGGTGATCACTTTTGTTTTCATTTGGGCATAGAATGTGCCAAAGTATGTTACAGTTCTTTTAATGGTTTCATATTACTTTGAGAAAAGTTATTTCTAGATATTACAATGAAGTAATTTTATATAATCATGCTGTAGTATAAACTCAGGACATTTTGTAACCATATGTGAATCACATTAGTTATCGGTTCTACAGCGTAGTATTTGGGTGGTATAGTTTTTGAATATGCAGATTTTTTTTCAACCTGTGTTGTCGTTGTATTAATTTTTGAGCATAAGAACAGCAATACAAAAATTTTATTAACGTGTTATTGTTAATATATATATATATATATATATATATATATATATATATATATATATTTGTATATTCAAAAACTATACCACTCAAATATAATATATCGAATAATCATCAAATAACCCTATACAAATGAAGTCTATCACAAAATAACAAACATTATTATCCTTATGGAAATACAAATTCCTTTTTATAATATATAACAGACCTTACTCCACTCTTAAGCATAAATTAAAAATCATATTCAGTAAATGTCAGACAGTTAAAATAGTTTCCATTTTCAAATTAATATAAAATCTAAAATTGTCAACAATGTACATAAATAAATGCACATACAACAATAAAAACAATAAATACACATTTTTTAAAAATATTAATATTAAACTATGTTTTAAAATTAAATTAAAAGATTACCCCTATACCTAAGAGAACAAAAAAGAAAAATACCCGGCCAGATTACATGCCGATGTACAATATGGAATTTTTGCCATAATATGCGGAGGACAATATTCAAGTTTACCCCACCAATTCTCTATAATTTGATATACTTGAGATGAAAAAATATAATTTTCTTATATCATCTGCAGAGGTTTTCTTAAATATTTCTATCCTATCAAAATTTTCCATACCCTGGTAAATTCTTAACCCTAAACTACTATAAATTGGGCGTTTAAATAATATATGATGAAGTGTTTCCTTTTGTTTAGTGTTGCACATTTTGCACTCATTTGTGGAGTAATTTTCACAATTTTATTATTAACAGAAATCTTGATCATATATTTTCCTGAGAGTCGGATCTGCATTAATAGTTTCGTATATTTGAAATTAGTCGGGATCAATAAATACTGGGGGATCTGATCATTATGAAAAAGGTTTAAATGTTTACTATAAGATGAGCTATGCAATGTTATCCTGTCTTCGTCCTGCAAATGTTGTTTGTATTTATTTAATATTCTGTTAATATTTCTTCTAATTATGGCTGAGTTGGTTTAATAAACTAGATTTCCTTCCCCAATAGTATCTAACAATAGCTGAGAGCACCAATTATGTTTCGATAGAGCAGGATTAGCTGAGTGACATTTATTTCTTAGCTTTTCGAAACATATATTTAGATATCTACATTCCTCCATTTCCACAAGTTTGACCAACCAATTCAATGAACAATTCATAATATTGAAACCAATATGAACAGACCCTGTCTCTAAACATATTAAAAAGTCGGGTTGTTTTACATAGGGAATATATCTTCTTATAGAAATTAGTGTTGACCTCAAAGAGCTCTTCTAAGATCTCTATATACTGGAGACTCCATACTTGGGCACAATATAGCAGAGATGTATTGATGATAGCTTTTTTCATCTTATCTCTCACCTTCCAGGAGTTCGTTTTTGCTTTAGAACAAATGTTTATTACACTACCTATTGTCGTGTTTGACTTTGAAATTGCCATCTTAAGTGCTTGCGAAAACAAACCAGACCTACAAAAGTGAACACCTAAATAATTGTATGTACTGACTGTATCAATCTGTTCTCCTTCCAAATATATATTATTATATTTCTTTAGACGCCCCCTAACAAAATTCAAAATTTTGTTTTATCAATGTTTATAATTAGTTTATTGTCTCTGCAGTATACATTTAAAGAATTCATTTTTTTTACAAGGTCGGTATACGAATCAGCAAGAATAGCCATGTCATCTGCAAACAAGAGCAACAATATGTCAACACATCCATTAATAGGTATACCAGACAGGTTATGCTTGCGAAAGTATTCTTCAATATCAGATAAGAAAATATTAAACAGCATGGGACTCAATGTCTCTCCTTGTAGCACACCTTCGGTAATTTTAAACTTTTGCGACAGTTCTCCAGTGGTTCCCTTTATTTGTGTTTACGCATTATCATACATGTTTCCCATAACTCGAATTATTTTCCCACTCAAACCTATAGAAAAAAATTTGTGCCATAGTAGATTGTGGTTTATGGAGTCAAAAACCCGACAAAAGTCAACAAAAATAACGGAAAGGTTAGACTTCTCTTTTAAAAATTGGTTTTGGATTACGGCTTTTAAGACAAAAACATTATCTAAACAGCTTCTCCTATTTCTGAATCCTAATTGGCATTCTGGTATAATTCCGGTTTCGTCTGTCCATGATGTTATTCTTTCCAACAGGATTTGGGTAAAAATTTTGGAAGCAAAGTTTTCCATATATATGTTTCGATAATTAAATGAGTTTCCTCGGTCCCCTTTCTTAAATATCATTCTCCTCCTCA